CCCCCCACTGATCTGCATACTCTGCTCTGTGACGTCTCGTTGATGAAGACGGTCGATTCTCTGCGTTACGATGTGACGAGTGTGAACTTTCTCTGAGTTGAAGCTGATGTGTTTTTATCTGCATCTGTTCTCCGCCTGCCTCAGATCTGTGGGACCACCCTTTAAAGGTTTTTATAGCAGCGGTGGTTTTGGTGTTTGGTCGGTTTCCGTGGTTTTGGTTGCGAGCCCAGCCCTGCTCCGCCCCCCCGCCTCCCCACAGCGCTGTGGGGAAAACTGCATTTCTTCTTGCTGTTGACCTGATCTGCTTGTGATTATCTGCGCAGCACGACGCTGCCGTTTATCGCCCGGAGAGAATATTTAGTTTGAGTTCGTTGACAGACGAGAGTAAAAACCTCAACGGATGAAAACCCTGAGGTGCCTCTGATGGATGATGGGAGCAAATTGCAGTTTGTACTTAAATCTCTGGAGTTGAGTCTTTAAGGGAGGGCTGTGGCTTTGACCTGCGACTCTGTTGCTCGTAGTTGCAAAGACTGTTTATCAAACCTGAAGCCAACGCAGAGGAGCCGGAAACCTGTCGTCTGTGTAACGACCAGCAGGGGGCGACTCCACTGGTAGCTTCTATAGAAAATGTCTCCACTTCTCACTTTATGACGTCAGTGAACTTTGTCCTCAGGAGCTTTTGTCTCAGTCTCTAGTTTCGAGTCTTCTTCAAGCAGCTGATGTTCATTTAGAGTCGAACGGACCAGACAGCTCCGGATGTGTTGGGGGGGAGGAGACCACGGTGTGATTGACAGCGAGCACCGTCCTCCAAATGTGGTGACTTCTGGTTTTAAAAAACAAAAATGGCGCTGAACAAAATGTCCAAGTGACGCTGCAGAGTGGTGTAAGTGACCTTTGACCCCTGTCACGTTTCCTCTCAGCACGTAGAACCAAACATCTCAGGATGAAGAAGAGAAGCCGCACACGACACGTAGAAGACGAACACGTCAACCTGGAAAGACGAGGAGATTCAACCCACCTGTTGCTGCTGCGTTCTTCATATGTGAAAGGAAAAACTCCGGAACACGTTCAGACACAATTCTCTGGACACATAGTTTGAAAATGTCTCTCTCATCTTGCAGATATAAAATATAATCAGCAGAACTGACGAGCGAGTTTCTCCTTCAGCGTTGTGGGTTCACTCAGGTCGGGCCTCGTCTCTGTCTCACACACTGGAGCTAATGGCTCTGGAGTGTCTCAGCAGGACATTCAGAACCTGTGGGTGATTTATTCCACTTGACACGACGGCTGTAAAGTCAAACCTGGGGAAGGGTTGAATTAAAATTCATCTGTTTGTTGTCAGGATCAGAAAAGACAAGAAATGTGATGCAGCGTATGTGTGTGTGTGTGTGTGTGTGTATACATCATTTTCCCAGTGGACGTAAATGGTCATGTGACGTGTTAGCATGGACGTAGCCCCACTGGACGGAGGTTTAACCTGCGGTGATATTTGTCTCTGGGACATGCGTGTTTGTGAAATGTTATATGTTTGAATGTGGACACATTGTGAATGTTCACATGGATCAGTCATCTACTTACACAATTAACTTCAGTTTCTCACCTTGATTTCAAACTTAACCCTGAATGTCTCAGTTCAGAGGGAATGTTAAAGGTCCCGTGCTTCTTAAGGTCATATCTGCTGCTCCGGGGGGGGGGGCACAGAAGAGGGGATTACAGAGGCACATGAGCACTAATGCAGTGTAACACACGAGGCTGGTTGACTTTATTAACGCACACAATCAAGGAAAGAGTTAAAAAAGGTGGTGATGATGTGAACCTCAGTGTCTCCTCTCTCACACACACACACACACACACACACACACACA